TATAATGCCAAAAATCAGCCATCCAATGAATCATTTAGATCGCTTGAGCAATTTAGTAAATGACTGGGAAGCAAGTCTAGCCTCGGGACCTTCTTCCCAGGGCCATTGGAGATTTATTGGTATGTCATAGATTATGTCAAGATTGAAGAATCAAAAGGGAGTCATTTTTTAAGGAAGTAGAAGAGTTAAGACAAGTATATAATTTACAGTTTATGCAAGTTACAGAACGCAAAGTTTTATTTAATTGTAACTTTCCTATAGCTACAACAAAAGGAAGTTGAATATAGGCTTGTATAAAATATGATTGATTAGAGTGAAAGAAATAATTGCTATAGCTATGATTGGTCCCTGTGAAATATCTGGTCCAAGTCCCAAGTTCTTCGGTGTTTGCAACAAGTTTTCAGATGTCCCATTGTTTAGGCCCAATCTATCTATCAAGGATGATTCGAGGATGAGGTGGGGGCCATTCCATTGTCAAGCTAGCCAAGAAGTCCTCTGTCATGGTAATGTTCCATTGTAGTATTAGTAACTTTCCATGTTACTTGAGTAATATAATCATACTTAGTATTGTTAATATCATCTGAGCAGTTCAATAACCACATACTATGGGGTCCCCAGTTGACAATTGTATTATTAGCTATAGACATTAATTTTCCTGATTTGGCCTGACATTTGTCTTAATGAACAGGAATATATTTAAACTTCTTATTAGTAAACCCTTTGCATAGTGCTCTTTGTTTTTTCTTTAATTCTTTTCCTAAAGTTTTAGTAGCATAAACACGATTCATGGACAAAGAAAGGGCAGTAAGTAATCCAAGAAGCATCAGAAAGTCCTGTTTTGGAGGCAGGGGAAGGCCTAAGTTTGCCGGCTAATGTTTATGCATAATTCTGTTGTGTCCATACACAAAGGAAGGATTTCATAACCTAGAAAGATATTAATTAGTTTTTCTTTTTCTTCAGGATGAGAGGGCCCCTCCAAGTTACAAGAAGGGGGCCCATGTGTCGACTCATTGGTCAAAATGATTGGTCTTATATCTGTCCATTTTCTAACCTACAGTAAAAAAATGGGGGTTAGGTATATAAGCCCAGTAAGTGTGATCAATCAAGTCACTCTGAGCCGGGGCAGCAAAAGCAAGCAAAGCAAGCATAGCGAAGATAAATATTTTCTGGATTCTGAGGCATTCCCTGTTGAGAAATCAGATTTTCAGTTTGATTAGTGAGGGTTTTTTATCCACCCCCAAATAGGGAGATCATAAGGTCGATGACGTCGAGTGCAGGGTTTTCTGGAAAATTTTAATGTCGCCATGGATTGTATTGGAATTCATTCTTCCTGGATTTTTTGTTGTTTCATCTCTAGTCTGAATGCTGGGGGACCCCTTAGGTTGAATCTTCTAAAGAGGAATTCATGTGAGGCTCGTTGCATCCATCTGGAGAAATAGAAGCATATCCTTTCCCTATAAGATTAGTTTCTTAGATTTCCATTGATTAGTTAACCTGTCTTGATATCAAATGGGCAAAGGAAAGGAGGTGTCATTTAATGTTTCAAAACTTCTTTTGTTTGTTTGTTTGTTGTTAGTTTTTTGCTTTGTCAAAACACTTCTTTGTGGTAAGTATAAAAAGTTTAAGACAAATAAGCCTATAAGAACTATAGTTATAAAAGGAAAGGAAAGCAATAATGATGAAAACATTCTTAGGAAATATTTCAGTCCAAAAGAAAAAAATCATTCAGAAATCTGTTTGGGACTGGTATTTGGCTGTGGTTTGTGTTATTTCTGGCAAAGTATTAGGAGTAACCATTCAAATATTTTTTTTTCTAAGTGAAATTATTGAAAAGGTAATGTAGAAAAACTTGACAAATGAATATATTTGACCTTGACATTCACATATATTTGACCTTGTCTTTGAAAATGAAATGCAGCTTAGCAACTGTTGAATCTCACTGTTCAGTGTATTAAAGAAGATGACTACCCTTCCAAGACAGACCTGAAAAGAAGGCGAACATTCCACATTTCTGATATTCTTAGGAACAAATAATCCATTCAGGAAATGATGGGTTTCTGTTTTGTTGTTTTTTTAATGCCGTTTTCGCCCTGCTTTAAGAATCCTACAGATTGGAAAGAGAAATAAAGTCACACCAATAATAGTTATAGGCTTAAAGACTACACTACACCAGAATCTAATAAAGTTTGCTCTGGACAAGGAAGACAAAAGTGTTCCTGTGTATTTCCTCTTATTTAATTTTTTATTCACAGTTACAGTGTGTAATGTGTTTGTCCAATCATGTCTTGTGTTTGCGGACTATAAGGAATGTCTGCAATCTGTTTAATAGATTGAATGTAAAAGATTGTTGGAACTGATTAGAAATATAGGCAGAGTCATTGTCTGTTTTTATAGCATTAGGTGTTCTCATTATCGTGAAGTAAGTTGATAGGTGGGTTATAACATGCTGTGTAGTCTTACCTTAGAGAGTTTTTGCCCCTAGAAAAGAAGAATTTGTATTGATCGAGACATGTAAGAAGGAAGAGGAAGAAAGTTCAGGACAATGAGTTATATCTATCTGCCATAAAATTTTCCTTCATTTGTCATAAGCCCTTCTAAAATTCCAGCACTAAACATCAAGGCCAAAACAAAATATGATAGCACAATAAACAAATGCAAAGTTTATTTCAAATAAACATATCATATTTTGTGGTTTTCACTGTGATCTACCTAAGTATTTTAACTGCATTTTCCAATATTCTTGCAGTCTGAATGTATCTGCTGACTAAAGTTAATTCTGTTAAATGTTTGTTTGGAAACAACATTCTTGTTTCCAATTTGGTTTAATTTGGAGGAAGAACATTTGCTATAGTTAGAACGACAATGAAAATCTAGTCTAGTAAAGCTTATGTAAATACTATTTTAGTTTTCCTCTCTCTCTCTCTCTCTCTCGCAGGATCACGGTTAATCTCGCGATCTTTTGGAAGTTCCGTTGAGGAAGATGGCGGAGGCCGCGAGCACCCTTCTCTTCTTGCCGCCGGGGACTTCAGACTGAGTCTTCCCTGGAAGAGTGGGACTGCAGGTGCCATGCGTCCCGGGAGCCCGAACCAACTTGGTTCCTCCATTACTGGTGGGGAAGGGCATATCCTCTTGTGTAGGACTTAGGCCCTCCCCGCTGTCAGGATGAAGGCTCAGGGGGAAACCGAGGAGTCGGAAAAGCTGAGAAAGATGAGTTCTCTCTTGGAACGGCTCCATGCAAAATTTAACCAAAATAGACCTTGAAGTGAAACCATTAAGCTTGTGTGTCAAGTCATGGAGAAGAGGGTTGTAATGAGTTCTGGAAGGCACCAACATTTGGTCAGCTGTTTGGAGACATTGCAGAAAGCTCTCAAAGTAACATCTTTACCAGCAGTGACTGATCGTTTGGAGTCTATAGCAAGACAGAATGGAGCTGTCCAGAGCTTGTACAGCAGCTAAGCAAATTGAAGACTAAAATGTACTTGGCTCTCCAATCCTTAGAACAGGATCTATCTAAAATGGCAGTTATGTATTGGAAAGCAACCAATGCTGGTCCCTTGGATAAGATTCTTCATGGAAGTGTTGGCTATCTCACTCCAAGAAGCAGGGGTCATTTAATGAACTTGAAGTATTATGCCTCTCCTTCTGACCTGCTGGATGATAAGACAACATCCCCTATCATTTTGCATGAGACTAATGTTCCTCGATCCTTGGGCATGAATGCGTCAGTGACAATTGAAGGAACGTCTTCTATGTATAAACTCCCAATTGCACCATTAATTATGGGATCACACCCAGTTCACAACAAATGGACTCCCTCCTTCTCCTCAGTTACCAATGCCAACAGTGTTGACCTTCCTGCTTGTTTCTTCTTGAAATTTCCCCAGCCACTTCCAGTATCTAGAGCATTTGTTCAGAAAATTCAGAACTGCACAGGAATTCCATTCTTGGAAACTCAGCCAACTTATGTACCCCTCTATGAACTGATCACTCAATTTGAACTGTCAAAGGATCCTGACCCCTTACCTTTGAATCACAACATGCGATTTTATGCTGCTTTTCCAGGTCAACAGCACTGCTATTTCCTCAACAAAGATGCTCCTCTTCCAGATGGTAGAAGTCTACAGGGAACCCTTGTTAGCAAAATCACCTTTCAGCACCCTGGCCGGGTTCCTCTTATCCTGAATCTGATCAGACACCAAGTGGCCTATAACACCCTAATTGGAAGCTGTGTCAAAAGAACTATTCTGAAGGAAGATTCTCCAGGGCTTCTCCATTTTGAAGTGTGTCCCCTCTCAGAGTCCCGTTTCAGCGTGTCTTTTCAGCACCCTGTGAATGACTCCCTGGTGTGTGTGGTAATGGATGTCCAGGACTCAACACACGTGAGCTGTAAACTCTACAAGGGGCTGTCAGATGCACTCATCTGCACAGATGACTTCATTGCCAAAGTTGTTCAAAGGTGTATGTCAATTCCTGTGACGATGACGGCTATTTGGAGGAAAGCTGAAACCATTCAGGCCGACACTCCAGCACTGTCCCTCATTACAGAGACAGTTGAAGACGTGGTGGAAAAGAACCTGCCCCTGGCTAGCAGCCCAGGGTATGGCATGACCACAGACAACAACCCAATGAGTGGTACCACTACACCAACCAACACCTTTCCGGGGGGTCCCATTACCACCTTGTTTAATATGAGCATGAGCATCAAAGATCGGCATGAGTAGGTGGGTCATGGGGAGGACTTCAGCAAGGTATCTCAGAACCCAATTCTTACCAGTTTGTTGCGAATCACAGGGAATGGGGGGGGGGGTTCTACCATTGACTCGAGTCCGACCCCTCCTCATCACATGCCGCCACCTGTCTCTTCGATGGCCGGCAACACCAAGAACCACCTGATGCTCATGAACCTTCTTAAAGATAATCCTGCTCAGGATTTCTCAACCTTTTATGGAAGCAGCCCTTTGGAAAGGCAGAACTCCTCTTCCGGCTCACCCTGGATGGAAATGTGCTCGGGAAGCAACAAGACAAAGAAGAAGTCATCAAGATTACCACCTGACAAACCAAAGCGCCAGACTGAAGATGACTTTCAGAGGGAGCTATTTTCGATGGATGTTGACTCACAAAACCCTATCTTTGATGTCAACATGACAGCTGACACGCTGGATACCCCACACATCACTCCAGCTCCAAGCGAGTGTAGTACTCCCCCACCAACTTACCCACAACCAGTACCTCACCCCCAACCCAGTGTTCAAAGTATGGTCCGACTATCCAGTTCAGACAGCATTGGCCCATATGTAACTGAAATCCTTTCAGACATTGCAGAAGAACCTTCTAATCTTCCCAGCACTACTGACGATTGTCCACCCATTGGCACCCCTGTTCAAGATTCTTCAAGCTCTGGGCATTCTCAGAGTGCCCTCTTTGACCCTGATGTCTTTCAAGCCAATAATAATGAAAATCCATACACTGATCCAGCTGACCTTATTGCAGATGCTGCTGGCAGTCCCAGTAGTGACTCACCTACCAATCATTTTTTTCCTGATGGCGTAGATTTCAATCCTGATTTGTTGAACAGCCAGAGCCAGAGTCTTTTTGAAGAAGAGTATTTTGTTGAAAGCAGCCAAAGTGGAGATAGTGATGATTTCAAAGGATTTCCATCTCAGGCACTAAATACATTGGGGGTGCCAATGCTTGGAGGTGATAATGGGGAGACTAAGTTTAAGGCAATAGCCAAGCTGATATGGTTGATTTCAGTATTATAGCAGTGGCTGGAAAGGCTTTGGGTCCTACAGATCTTATGGAGCATCACAGTGGTAGCCAGAGTCCTTTATTGACTACTGGGGACTTAGGGAAAGAAAAAACTCAAAAGAGTCAAGGAAGGCAATGGTGCCAGTAATAGTAGTCTGTCAGGGACAGGATTAGACAACAAACCAGGAAGCGCAGTCAAACCCCTTCTTAATGATGGCAAAAGCAAAGATAAGCCTCCAAAGGGGAAGAAGGCAGACACTGAGGGAAAGTCTCCATCTCACAGTTCTTCTAACCGACCTGTCACCCCACCTACTAGTACAGGTGGATCTAAATCTCCAGGCAGTTCAGGAAGATCTCAGACTCCCCCAGGTGTTGCCACACCACCCATTCCCAAAATTACTATTCAGATTCCTAAGGGAACTGTGATGGTGGGAAAGCCCTCTTCTCACAGTCAGTATACCAGCAGTGGTTCTGTGTCTTCCTCAGGAAGTAAAAGCCACCATAGCCATTCTTCCTCATCTTCTGCTTCCAACTCAGGCAAGATGAAAAGCAGTAAATCAGAAGGTTCATCAAGTTCTAAGTTAAGTAGCAGTATATATTCTAGCTAAGGGTCTTCTGGATCTAGCCAATCCAAAAATTCATCCCAGTCTGGGGGAAAGCCAGGCTCCTCTCCTATTACCAAGCATGGACTGAGCAGTGGCTCCAGCAGCACCAAGATGAAACCTCAAGGGAAGCCATCATCACTTATGAATCCTTCTTTAAGTAAACCAAACATATCCCCTTCCCATTCAAGGCCCTCTGAGGCTCTGATAAGCTTGCCTCTCCAATGAAGCCTGTTCCTGGGAGTCCCCCATCCTCTAAAGCCAAGTCCCCTATCAGTTCAGGTTCTGGTGGTTCTCACATGTCTGGAACTAGTTCAAGCACCGGCATGAAGTCATCTTCAGGGTTAGGATCCTCAGGCTCGTTGTCTCAGAAAACTCCCCCATCATCTAACTCTTGTACAGCATCTTCCTCTTCCTTCTCCTCAAGTGGCTCTTCCATGTCCTGCTCTCAGAACCAGCATGGGAGTTCCAAAGGGAAATCTCCCAGCAGAAATAAGAAGCCATCTTTAACAGCTGTCATAGATAAACTGAAGCATGGGGTTGTCACCAGTGGCCCTGGGGGTGAAGACCCAATGGACGGCCAAATGGGGGTGAGCACAAATTCTAGCCATCCTGTGTCCTTCAAACATAACATGTCTGGAGGAGAGTTCCAGGGCAAGCGTGAGAAAAGTGATAAAAACAAATCAAAGCTTTCCACCTCAGAAAATGGGGGCTCAGTGGATTCATCTAAGAAGACCTCAGAGTCTAAAAATGTGGGGAACACAGGTGTGGGCAAAAATTATCATCAGCAAGCATGATGGGGGATCCCCCAGCATTAAAGCCAAAGTGACTTTGCAGAAACCTGGGGAAAGTGGTGGAGAAGGGCTCAAGCCTCAGATGGCCTCTTCCAAAAACTATGGCTCTCCATTCATCAGTGGTTCCACTCCAAAGCATGAGCGTGGCTCTCCCAGCCATAGTAAGTCACCAGCATATACCCCGCAGAATCTGGACAGTGAAAGTGAGTCAGGCTCCTCCATAGCAGAGAAATCTTATCAGGAGAGTCCTAGCTCAGATGATGGCATCCAACCTCTTCCAGAATACAGCACAGAGAAGCATAAGAAGCACAAAAAAGAAAAGAAGAAAGTAAAAGACAAAGATAGGGACTGGGACAAAGACTGAGACAAGAAAAAATCTCATAGCATCAAGCCAGAGAGTTGGTCTAAATCACCCATCTCATCAGACCAGTCCTTGTCTATGACAAGTAACACAGTCTTATCTACAGACAGGCCCTCAAGGCTCAGCCCTGACTGTATGATTGGGGAGGAAGATGACGATCTTATGGATGTGGCCCTGATTGGCAACTAGCAACCTTACTTTTTAAAGCAAAAATATGGCCAGAGAAGAACTAAGTGTATAGGCAAATCACCATAAGGAGTGAGTCAGGTCTGATTTTGTGTTTAAGAATCTTAAACGGCATGGCTTTGCAACCAAGTGGGATGAATTTTGAAAGGCATAGCCAGACCCTAATAAAGAGACCATAGGGTTTGATTCTGGTTACCAAAAATCAGTTGTTCCTTTGCCAGGAAAAAAAAGTTTTAAAATATTGGCTTATGAAAGGGAGGGGGTGGGAAGGGCTTAGGGAGAGAGAAGGGTGGGAAACAGTTCTGTGGGAAATATTCATATGTATTTTTTCTCCCTTTTTCCATTTTTAGGCCATGTTTTAAACTCATTTTAGTGCATGTATTTGAAGGGCTGGGCAGAAAATGAAAAAGCAATACATTCCTTGATGTATTTGCATGAATGTTGTTCACCTTTGGGTAGTTGTCCATTTGAGGCAGGGGCAAATGAAGGACTTGGGTCATTTTGGACACTTAAGTAATGTTTGGTGTCTGTTTCTTAGAGGATTGTTTGGGGAGGGAAGATGATTTTAGCTATTTATTTGTAATATTTTAACCCTTTATCTGTTTGCTTTTATACAGTGTTTTTTTTCTAATTCTATGAGGTTCAGGGTTCATAATGATGGGAGGCAAGAAGGAGGCTTATTTGGTGGTAGGGAGCTTGTGGCTTATGCTGGTAATGTAGTATCAAGCTGAAGCAGATCAGTCAGAGCCTACCTTTGGAGTCAAGTAGAAAACCAAAATGGTGTTTTTGTTGTAGGAGGTTTTTCATAGGGTTCAGACATCATAGGAATATTAGGAGTTATCTTTCTCTGGAGGTATTGATTTATAGTTTCTTTTTCCTTTAAAGAAAGCTTGGCTGGCTTTTTGGGATGTAAACGTTTTCAGATGAAGTAAAATTTAAAAGTGGGATAGCCTCCCTGACCCAGTGGCAGGAAAACCATTACAGAATTCATAGTTCTCCTATTTCTGCAATGTGCCAAAAGTCCACATCCCAGCATTTTGTTTGTAGGAGAACTGATGCCATTCCTGAGAACTGGGCTCCTTGTTTCCCTTCATCACAAGGATAAGGAGTCCAGACTTTAATCACTCCACTGTATGCTCCCTTAGATAAAACAGTAAAAAATTTGCAGCCATAGTTCTCTTTTTTTTTCCACTTATTTTTATTAGTTGGAGGCTAATTACTTTACATCATTGCAGTGGTTTTTGTCATACATTGAAATGAAATAGCCATGGATTGACATGTATTCCCCATCCCGGTCCCCCCTCCCACCTCCCTCTCCACCCGATCCCTCTGGGTCTTCCCAGTGCACCAGGCCCGAGCACTTGTCTCATGCACCCAGTTTTCAAGCTCACTTGAAGTAATGGGGGCCTGGAATACTAGGTGGGCATGAAGATAAACCCTTGCTACTATGTAGCAACACAATTGGACCTTATTGGAAGAACAGGTCTGAGTCTGGATTCTGGGGGACATCAATAAGAAGCCCTTCTCATACATATAGAAATCCAGGAGACCATTTGAGTGCAACACGAGTTCTCAGTATTTGGAGGGTCCTCTCAAAATTCTGCGGCCTTACTTTGATTTTGACACCTGCACTGTGCCATTCCTGATGATTCCATTCAGGATCTGTATCAGCAGAATGGGGCACGATCCCCAGCACAACTCTTCTGGATTAAAAAAAAAAAAAAATACTACTTTATTCTATAATAAATATTTCAGCAATTAAAAAATATTTTAGTATTCATCATTTTATTTGCCATTTCTTATATCTTTCTATTAAAGGCATATATTTTACTTTTCCATATCAACCATGAAATGTATGTTAGTGTTTTATAGACTGTTGAATATATTTATCAAATCAGATTATTATCCATTCTTATATGAATATGTATTTATACTCATCAACAGATCAAAATCTCTTTAGCTCCTCTGCAAGAAAAACCCCTTGCAAGAGTAAGCCAATGTTCAGCAATCAATGCTTCAAAATCCTACTTCACTTGGAAATGACCCATCCATTCAACAAACTTCCACTATTCAGTTCAGTACAGAAACCCAAGTCACTCCAATCCTAAGAGACTGTTCCAGATTATAGGCAATAGATTATTCTATTAAAAATATAATTATTTCCAACTAAGCCTATCCAAAAGCTTCCATCTCATTCACATATCTGTATAGATATACATAAAAAGTTACCCCTTTGCTGACAAACCCAGGCTACCTTAAACCAAGGCATAACAAAAGTACTATACAATGTTGATGGCTTAAGACATGTCCCAATTAGACCAACAAATAATTATATTTGTTATATTTATATTTAAATAAACATTACATTTAATATTGAACATTTTTCAGTTCATGTGAAGCTGAATTTAAATAGAGCTTATCAACTTTATATTATCCAAAAACAAAGACATACATTGAGACATAGATAATTCTAGATACATAGGCATAGTTCTCCATTTGAAATTTAAAAATCTTTTTGTTTATTTATTTTGAGCTCCACCAATTTGTTAATGGCTGGAGTCCTAGATAGAGTGGGCTGTGTATACCAAGGACATGATAAGAGTTAACTTAAGGTGTTTCCTTAGACCTACTTTTGTTTCCCAGGCAGAACTGGAGCTCCAAAAATATATATATTTTAACAAGCTAACTTTTTCCTAACCGCACGTGCAAGAAAAACCAGTTTTGCAATTTCAAAAAGATTTTATTTTAATCAGTTTTCTCCATAGTCTAAAGAATACCATAGCCATTCAGTGTCAAAAATATCATTTCTCCTTTTTGTAGTTATAGTATATTATTAATGATATATGCATGAGGGAATTGCTGTCACATAGAAAGTAAAGCCTTGGCTACCAAATTTTGACAAATACTAGGACAGTTATGGAGACGGCAATGGCACCCTATTTCAGTACTCTTCTCTGGAGACTCCCAGGGATGGGGGAGCCTGGTGGGCTGACATCTATGGGGTGGCATAGAGAAGGACATGATTGAAGCGACTTAGCAGCAGCAATAGCAGGACTTTTAAGCATACCTTG